GACAGGGTTGCACTGAGTTACTTAGTGCCTTGCTTTTGCTGAGGCTGGCTTTGAACTCGAGATCCTCCTACTTCAGGCTCTGGAGCCTCTGGGATTATAGGCTTGCACCACTGCGCCCGGCTAAGTTTTGCTGTTTTTTGACTGTATGAAAGTTCTGAGGAGATAGTGGTTGTTGGTGAGTGGCAAACAGATGAATGAAAAATAGAAATGCAGATTTTGCTCCCAAGTAATCTAATTTTCCAGGGCCTGTGGCTCTTACAGAGGGCTGCTCTATCTTCTGCCCATTCTACGTGTAAACACCCACTTTTACTGCTCAAAGTTGGCTGAGGACTACAGAAGTTCTCAGCAGCAGATTGACTGCATTTACTTTTTTTTTTTTTTTTTCCCTCATGAAGTGAAACCCTTTTTCTTTTTTGTTTTATCAGATAACTTTCACTGTTACACTGGAAAAAAAAATCCCTAAAGGAAATTGGTGGGAATTTGAAGGCAATGTTCTAAGTGGTTCCAACTAATTTAGACTCCCAAGAAGGGTTTTGCTAAAAGTGTTTCATAAGTTTTTAAGGTACTGTCATAACCAAAGTTTGAGAAGTGCTATCATATATTAAAACCTGGTTCTGAATGGACTGCCTGGTCAATTTCCACAGGGGAAAAAGGTTAATAGTGGTTTGCTCTGGGGAGTGGCAAGAGAATTGTTTGTTTCCAGCATCTTATTTAAAGTGACATCTTAATAATGACTCTAGGTTTTCTGACAGAAAAAAATTACTTTTCAGTTTTAGTGTTGGTTAATGCATAGTTGTGCTAAATTATTAAGAAACAGCAATTGCAATAGATAAATTCATACATATTTGCGAGGCATATATGCATCCATTTGCATCATGATTATTTGGGAGTAGGCCTGCATTTATGTAAGTGCCATATATTGAAATAGTTGCTATATTTCTGGGTTATGTTCATTTTAGGATTTCAAATTTTTGTTTTTTGGTCTTATTACTCAAGGGCTAATTTATTTACTTAAAGGCTAATGAATTATGGATATACCCCCCTCCTCCTTTTTGACATATTTTCCTTCAGGACTTCATTATATAACTTCATTAAATTATTGGTCATAAGTTAGAAATTCAATGCTAGCTAGCTGTGTTAGTTAGCTTTACAATTATTGTTTGAAATAGCTGAGGTAAATTAGCTCATAAGAATATAAAGGCTCATTTTGACTCACAGTTTGCGAAGGTTCAGTCCTTGGTGATTTGGTCCCCTTGCCTTTGCCTGTGGAGAGGCAGTATATAATTGCAGGAATAGGTGGCAGAGGAATCTGTCGCCTCATGGCAGCTGGGAAGCAAAGGAAGAGGAAGGGGTTGGGTTCCCAGTATCCCCTACAGGGTCATACCCCTGATGCCCTAACTTCTTTCTACTAGATCCCATCTCCTAAAGGTTCCACCATCTCCCTGTAGGGTTACAGACTGGGGACCAACCCTTCAACACATGGCCTTTGGAGAACATGAAGATCCAAACTGGCACTAACATAAGTGCAAAGAACTGCTTGGCTTATGTAACCAATCTGCTAAAAATATATACATGAAATGTCACTGTATGTTCTCTCTGCATGTTTTCTTGTTCTACTGTAGGCTGATTTCTTCCACATGTATGAAAGAGTGTGGGTGTGCGGGGAGAAGTGATATAGGCTGTAGTCTACATCTTTTCAGCTTTTCATAAGAAAATAACCTTTTGTTCCTAATTGAAAAACATGGGATCAAATTGCAAAGATTGCTTTGCAGAAGAAAATAATATCTTTTCATAGTTAAATAATTGAGATTTAGGTTGAGCCAGTTTGGGTACCATGGTCATCGGGTTTAACCAAAATCATGTCGTTAGGGTGGTGGGAATTGGGATGGCAAGGAACCATAGTTGCCTTCACAACAGGGTGAGTGCATATGGTATGTTTCCCAGAAGTTTTGTTCCTTTTTCTTCCTATTTATAGTTGTTTATATATTCTGGATACTAATCCTTTGTCAGCAGGTGGATTATAAATATCTTCTTCCAGTTGGTGATTCATCTTTTTACTTTGTTTGTGGTGTCTTTTGTTAGAAAATTAAACAAATTTTAATGCCATGAAGTTTCTCAATCTTGTTCATTTATATTAGGTGCTTTTGTTTTAAGAATGTTTTTAATCCCAATGTCTCAAAGATAAACTCTTATGTTCTCTTTTTTTTTAAAATCTTTTTAAAATTTATTCTTTTTAGTTCGTGTGTTCTCTTCTTTAATCTTTCCAAAGACCATTTTCTATATGGTATGATCTATGGATCTAATTTTATTTTTCTTCTGGATAGCCAATAGGCGCAGACTCTTTATTGAATCATGTTTGTACTGATTTATAATGCTCTTTGTCACATGCCAAATTTTCACATATGCTTAGATGTGATTCCAGGTTCTTTATTTTATTCAATTTGGTCTCATACCTCCACCAAACCACGCTGATTTAATTATTGTAACTTTATAATACATCCTGACAGGAAGTGAAGACATTCACTTTCTGTATGTGCTATTCTTTACCCTTTACTCTTCCATAGCAATTTCAGTGCCAATTTGTTGATTTCCACAAAAAGTGTGGTAGGATTTTCATTAAAATTAAGAGAATCTCTTGTTAGCAATATTGAGGCTTCTTGTCCGTTAATTGGATGTGCCTCATTTATTAAAGACTTTGTTTAATATCCTTTAATAGTGCTTAGTTATGTCTTTAGAAATATTGTGTGTATTTTGATGGATTTAATCTGGGTATCATATTTTTTGAGGCTTTTAAAAAACAATAGTTCTTTATTAATAATAGTTTCTAGTTATTCATTGCTGGTATATAAGGATCGGATAGATGTTTCTTTTTTAATTGACCATGTTTTTTCCTGACATGATTCACAATTCTGTCTCCCTGGAAAATGGTGACATATTTTCTAAGATTTTATTGACTCTCTGAAAGCTTCAAACACTTAGGTGCTTTTTTTTTTTTTAATGTTTCCTTAACCATTGTGTTATTCATTATAATATAATTGATTTTGTTTGTGTGATAGGTCATTGAAGGTAGGGCTGGTTCTTATCTATTTTTGTCTGCCCTGTGCCTAGCATAGTGCAGTCCACGTGGTCAGAGTTCACAAATTGTTAGCCAAAATGAGTAACTATGTGAAAACCTTTAATACTAGTGAAGTGAAAGGTGTTTCTTTTCTAGGAGCTCTGGTATGCTTTTGCTTCTCTGGTTAGTGGATTTTTTCTTTCTTTTTAAAAAATAAACATCTTGTTTCTGACCATTCTTCTTAGTAATGTTTAAATGAATAACAACAATTATAACATCTAATATATATTTAGCTAATATGTATGTTATAATTTGTTAATTCATTTAATGCTCTCCATAACCTTATAAGAAATAAGGCTCTAATATTATTGCCATTTTTCAGATGTGGTATTTGTTTGCATGATCTGAGGGGTTGTTGGCATGTTCCAAATAAGCAATTGTTTGAATATCCCAATCACAAAGATTTCATGGAGGTAGGATTTAAAGTGTGCCTAAAAGGTTGGAAGTATTCTTCAACGCAGTCTTTTATATATAAGAGTGAAGAATAAGGTTAATAATGCTCTTTCCCTGGACTTCATATAAAAAAAGATCACATTTTCTTTGCCCATGTTTATGTGCCATTCGAAGTAAAATCTACTTAAGGAATCTCAAGGGTCCAAATGGAAATCTTTGCTAAAAGACCTTTGTGGAAAGTAATGACAAAACAATCTAGTCTTTTAAAACCCTCTAATTTCCTTGGATTTGTTTGTCTGAGATTTTGCATTTTCATTTTAGGCAGGTGCAGATGCAGATATGTAGTAATTTGATCCCTACTCAGTATGGGTTAATATTCTGGAGTAAATAAATCAGTGGTGACCCCTGGCTCTTGCCAGCTCCTGCTGTTCTCGTTTCACCATCGGACTGGCCTAGTAGTTATAGGCTTGGCTTCTAGGTGGATATTTATTTCTTCTTTTGATATGATAACCCAAGTATTGCATAAAATAATTAAATTGTCATGACAGGGAATGTCTGCAAATAGGTCTGGCCTTTTGTTTCCTTCTTCAAGGTAAACAGCTACTTTTGGTTTATGAAAAGCTAGAAGTGATCCAACAAGAAGCCTGTATCCGTCACATTGAAATCAGAGACTTGATTAATATTGTAGCCTGTAGCTTTGTGATATGTACGGTTTAAATTAGACCTTTGCAGTCATTGTACTAGGTTGATGCAAGCACATTAATGACATAATTTCTGGTTGCTGCATCACATTTCTGCAGTCTGTCCTTTGTATTCCACTCACA